CCAGAAAGTGGTACTGCCTAACTCTATGGCTGGTACCAATTTTTTAAAATGTTGACTACAGTTGAAATAATCAATTATCCTTGACAAAAGTAGGTACTAATCGACTAAAAACAGGTACTACATACAGGAAAAGGTGGTACTATTTTGTCTAAATCAGGTACTATATTAAGAATCGTGATATTTCTAATCCTTCATGTCTACCATGTCACGTGGATCGTTAACACGTGTTTTGGATAAAAAATAGTGGAAGTTAAATTATATAGGTAGAAATTGGAGTAGTCATGTATGATGATTCTATGAGATGAAGTGTTTCATTCCATAAAATGAAGTGTAGTACTAGTGTTTTCTCGCTAGTGTGTAGAGTTCATGACCATTTTATGATTAAACTCAACGAAAAACATTTTATATCTCATATAAACTAATGTGAGAGTGATCATGGGTCGTATGAACATAATTTTCGATTGATATTTGGTGTTTCTATGTGTATATTATAAGTGGTACTTAAGTCTCGATATTTGGTACTAAATCTACATAAAGTGGTACTACCTTACTCTAGGTCTGGTACTACTTCTTTTAAATGTTGACCACAATTGAAATAATCAATTATCCTTGACAAAAGTAGGTACTAATCGACTAACAACAGGTACTACATACAGAAAAAGATGGTACTATTTTGTCTAAATCAGGTACTATATTAAGAATCATGATATTTCTAATCCTTCATGTCTACCATGTCACGTGGATCGTTAACACGTGATTTGGATGAAAAATAGTGGAAGTTAAATTATATAGGTAGAAATAGTAGTCATGTATGATGATTCTATGAGATGAAGTGTTTCATTCCATAAAATGAAGTGTAGTAGTAGTGTTTTCTCACTAGTGTGTAGAGTTCATGATCATTTTATGATTAAACTCAACTAAAAACATTTTATATCTCATATAAACTAATGTGAGAGTGATCATGGGTAGTATGAACATAATTTTCGACCGATATTCGGTGTTTCTATGTGTATATTATAAGTCGTACAAAAGACAAGAAATGTGGTACTAATATACCAAAAAGTGGTACTGACTAACTCTAGGTCTGGTACTACTTCTTTTAAATGTTGACCACAATTGAAATATTCCATCTTGATTGACCAAAAGTTGGTACTAATTCATTCATATCAGGTAGTCTGTATTAGAACATCAGGTACTAGTTTAATATATACTGGTACTAGAAGAATAACA